GAAACACTGTGCTGGCTTTGTGAAGGATATGCTAGGTTACTGTTTTCTATCCACTGCCACTTTCCCTGTCCCCTCCTCCCCGATTCAGGCCCCCCTGCACCTGGTGGGGGCTGGGTCGTTTTCTGCCATACAGAGGAGACATGGTAACCATGGCGAGTCAGCAAGAAGTCCTGTACTGTCTTCTCTGGGAACATAAATGGCTCTGAGGCAAGAGGATAAAACCAAAGACCCAGGAGTGGCTGAAAGCCGAGAGAAGAGTTACAAAAAGTTCTAGATCCAGAGATGACAAGATGGGAAAGAAAACAGATGTAAGGGAGTCGTTTCTGTTTGCATCTCAAGACAAAAGCATGATTTAGACTGTGAGGACAGTAGATTTATCAAAGAGCAGGCTTGCTTCTGACAAAGAGGAAGGCTACACCCTGCCAGGGAAGTCAGTAAGAGGCTCTGGCCAGAGAACTAACTGAACTCAAGCAGTCCCTGGGCAGCATCTGCAGGAACTGACTGGCGGTGCCCCACACTGGACTCTGAGTCTTCTTTGCGAACCTGCAATGGCACAAGCTGCAGGGCTTTTCACATGCTGTCTGACACATAAAGTCATTCATTACACCCAGTGATGTCTAATTACCGTGGGGAGCGTAGTCATTAAAGAGCATATAGGACCTAAAGGGGAGAAGAAAATGCTACATTCCCAAAGCCACAGGCACAAGAGAAAAGCAAGTCGCCGGGCAGCACCAATGCAGGGTTGATGCTAATTATCAGCAAAATGCTGTGCTACCACGGGTAGTATCCCCATTCCTTAAAGGGCAAAGAAAAAAATCATTTCTGAAAATATAACCTGGCTCATGTTCAAAGGGAGACACCCTTATAAGCTGAAATTAATTCACTGGAAAGAAAAACTGAACAGATAAATCCTTATTGTCTGTTTTGTGCACTTTATGTATAACAAGGTAAACGGCATGTGAATGGAGCTTCGTAAAAGCTTCATGGTATTTGGGCCACAAAGTCATGCTGGAAACAAATGTTCCTCCCTTCCTGTTAAGTAGAAAAACTCCTGACCTACGTTAGAACACATACCTGCAACAAGGCAACTGACTCCCACAGACTATATCCTGGGGAGGGCACGGAATGTAACTGAAGGCCTCGATCTCAAATCAGTCATAATGTCATTAGGATAATTACAACATCTTTTTAAAAACAGATTCAATCTTCCTATAGAAACAGTGCTTTGGAGTGACCAGTGTTAGCTGCTAGCATCACACACGACCATGATGACAGAGCAACAGTGCTTTCCCCCACCCATCTACCAGACAGACAGACCCCACCACACTCAGTAAAGAACATCCTATCAGCTGCTGGCTTCAGTAAGGCTGCTCAGAGCAAGCCCACTGCCAACGACAGACACCAAGGAGCAGGAGGAAGGAGGAGATGGGGGAAGGGACGGAGGGAAGGTGTTCTAAAAATACAAGACTTCAGCTATGCACATGGCAATCCAAGCCAAAGGGAGTGCTGGAGTTGTAGTACACACTGGGGTTGGATATAAAACCAAGTCCATAAGATTCCTTCCTAAGCCTGTTGTGCTAATTCCCTGCCTGGGATTAACACACACAGCAGGTTCATCGTATGATCAGAGGACACACACAGTGACAGAAAGACAGACAAAGACACACACAACCACATCCTTAACCCAGGAAAGTCGTAAGTCCTCAGTTGGGACTTACAGCACAGTACTTCTCTACTGCTTTCTGGACTGCTCCCCCAGGGAGGCTACCATTTAATAGAAATCCACCCTCTCTCTAAGTGGGGACTGAAGGACGCCGTCAAACACACTCTCAAAACAAATAAAATAATAGAACATCCTGGCTGTTCTGTTCTCATTCCACTGCTTTGAAATCTTGGAACCACAGATGTGATATCCCACAGACCGGGCAAGACTGCGCTGTGAAGTCTCCAAAGGAACCTCTCTGCCCTTTTAGGAGCTCAGGGCTCCTCGGTCCTCTAAGCTGCAGCAGGGAGGGGTGTGCTAGGTGGCTACGTGGGCAGGAGAAGAAATGGAAACAAACTCCCGGAGGATATTTTTGGCCATTTCGATGTTGTTGTGGGCAATGACCAGGGCTTTCTGAATGTCCTGGTAGGAGTATCCCTGACTCAGGAGGCTCTCGATCTCACTGGAGAGCTGCGGGGAGGCGGCGGCGCTGCTCTGCTGACAGCTACTTGCTTTTCGTTCAGAGTTGATTCTCCGAGGGAACGGTTTGGGAGGCCTCTCAGGAACTTGGGAACCCTCAGTGAAGTCTAGAAGAAATAGGAAAGAAAATGCTTGCAAATCCGGGAAGAGGAAATCCTCGTCTAGTAACGACGGGCTAATACCAACATATTATTGACCTGCTGTCAATCGGTACACGTGCTCTTCAGCTCCAAGGCTGGGTTTTATAGGTTCAACGGTTTTAGTCTACAGCCTCCTCCCTCTCAGCAGGACAATCTTCTAAACACACCAGGCACCTGTCCCACGGACAGTGACCATGCTGCCCCCCACATGGAACGCCTGCACCCGCACCACACTTCACACTGAGCAACAAGTTTTTACACACATTACTGCCTGCATTAGTTAAAAAACACTTCTGAAGGGCCAGAGAAGACAGTCAACTTCTTCTTTCACAAATAAGGAAAGAGAAATGAGCCGGAGTTGCAGTGAAGAGGCATGAAACAAGGTCGGGCGGTGGGGTATGCTGCCTGTTGGGGCAATTGGATGCCGTGCGTCTTTTTCACCAGCTGTCCTGAAGGCTGGCTTCCATTTCCAAAGTGACAGCCACTGTGGCTGCTGCCCTCCCAGGCAGCCACAGGTGCACGAACAGCTATAACAGACAAGGCCCAAATGCGGGCTGGCTCCAGGCCCATTCAGTGTGCTTTCCAGAGCCAGCACGTCTCCTTTCCAATGGGATAGGGCCCAGCAGTCAGCAATCTGTGGTCTGAACCATCAAGCTTAGTTACCACCATCATGATGCACATTCAGAAGAGGCAGAAATCTTATTTACCCCCACCACAGGAAGGGCCAAGATTTAAGGAACAACCTCATTTCTAAGTCTGGCAAAATCCTCGAGTCTGACTACAGTTTAACTTCCCAATTTGGGACCCAGGACCAATTTCCTCCCACTTAGACGTAATTTTTACTACATCCAGCTACTGACTCACTGTTACCAGGCAGTCATCTATTTTTCAGTATAAATAAGGAGCCACACAGCATTTTCGTATAAACCCAAGGTAGCCTGGAGACTCACTTGTTGTGGGATCACCTTCCAGAGACAGCCAGCCGAAGGAGGAGCTGGCGTTGGAGATGTCTGAGAGCGTGCGGCGGGCCAGCACCGCGGGCAAGGGTGGCCTGGGGACGTCATACCCATCGTCTTCGTTTTCTGATTCCTCAGGGCCAGTGTTGGCATGGGCTGCAGCCAAATTCCCTTCACCTAGAGAAGAGTTTGCACAGTTATCTTCCCTTCCTAATGAACTTCACCTTCTAACACACTTCAGTATAGGGGCATCCGTTCATTCAAGCATGTACAGAATCACACAGTTACTGAACATCCACGATGAACCAAACACCACGCCACCCTGCAGGCAGAGATAAAACAGGGAAAATAAAATCTGCACCAATCCTGCAGCTCTACTTTTCTGAACATGTCAAAGCTACCCTTGCCAAGGTTAACAGCCACTGATGCCCAAGACTCAAGCGCCACTTTACAGCATTCATTCAACATTTCCATCTGCATTTCACCTTGGAAGATCAGCCAAAGGGCCCTGCTGTGTGTGCTGTCTTCTTGAACTTTCAACTTGGTGAGCTAGTTAGTATGGGAATTGAGTATTCACCACCCACACACACAAGAATTTCATCACTGCTGAAAAGCAATGGGAATAAGAGGGAGCTAGCTACCAGCACTGCAGGTCCAGGCCAGGAAGAATAGAAAACACAAAAGGAACTAGCTACGTGAATGGGAAATAAACGAGATGAGGGGCTTTTGCTGCTATGGATCAAAGATATTTTGCAAAGAAAATTATTTTAAAAGAATGTTCCCCTCAGACCAAGCTCTCATTGGCCAAACATTACAGGCTCATTCTTCCAGCACATTAATGACTGTTAAAGTAGCAGAATGACTACTCACCAAAGGTGCCGCTCTCTGTGGTAGATGGCACCGCCTGGGACTGGATATTATACATTGCTTCGTATGTACAGCTATCAACCTGCTGGTCACAATCACATGCCCTGAACCGGAAGGAAAGTGGCACAACGATCTTCAGAAACAGAATTCGGTTATCTGCAAACTTACTAAGATTCATCTATTTACAAATACTCCAGATCTGACTCTATCATGACACTCTCCTTCTACCAGTATCACTAGTAAGTATCGTAAGATCGACTCTTGTGACAAGTAATAGACGTGTGTTTTTGAAATTACTGTGGTGTTGAAGAAACATGAAGTTGAATTGCTGACAGCAGTAAAAGGCTTACAACATTAGGGGCTAGATACATCATTCTGCTTTATTTCTGGCTGGATAATGCTATGTGCAGGCAGCAAATCAAGCAGGTGAGGGGGTGTCAAATGAATTCCCAAACAGGATGGTTGTGAACCTACCATGAACTCTGGGTTGTCTCCAAAGGCCATTTCACCTCTGGCTTTTGAAGTCCCACAGGCCTAGAGGAGGGAGTCATATACTCTGTGTCTTCCTCATTTTCACACTGCTCCCCAGGTGGCAGCTTTGGCACAGGAAGAGGTCTGGAAGATGAAGAATGAAAGACAGCAAAAGAAAACAAGAAGAATAAACTGCTTTGTGATCATTTGAGATAATATGAAAATCACTGTAGTAGAAGAAATATACAATAGTATGATTCCATACACACAAGAATGGTAATAAACATATAACAAGTTGCCAATTACTGTCTGACTCTAGGTGGTGAGACTACAGACACTTTTATTTCTTCAGCATTGATTATCTGTATTTTCTAAATGTTCTTTAATTAACACATATTACTTTCATTAAGAGAAAAAGGTCATTAAGAGGACAATCCAAAAATTTTCATTATAATTCTTTTCATTGATGATGTTAATAAAAATATAAAACTGCACCTCTTACTCATTAAGCATTTTGGCAATACATACTTTAAAACATTCAAATTCTTTTGTCACAGTAATTCTACTTTGGATGCATCTCTGGCTACGTACAAAGATGTTCAGTGAAGCAAATTTATTACAGAAAAAGCTTTTAAACTAAATATCCAACAATAGGGGAATGGTTAAATATGTGATGTTATAGCCACATTATATAAAATATGTAATTAAAAGTGAGAATTTTGAAAAACTTGAACTGACAGGAAGAAGATGTAATACTAAGTTTTAAAAAAGGGAAAATAATAATATATCTTGATCCAAAATACACATACATTTTACATGCCTATTGCCATGGCCACATAACAAGCATTGTCTGTCTGCCTAGAACAGCTAGCTATAAAAGCAGGAAAAAATATAAAGGAAAGAAGGCACTGGAGAGCAACCAAGTAGCCAAGATTTAAGAGGCCAAGATTCCACAGGGAGGGAGAATACACTGCAGTAAGCCCCATATTAGGGGTTCTGAACTTGGGGTTCCAAGGTAGTTTCAATAGGCTGAGAGAGGGACTGGAATTTGGGGGTACCACAGTGGTCACAAGAGGCCAAAACTTCTAGGGAGGGGAATAGCAGAGAAGTGGGCCTAAAACCCTGCCTACAGTGTTCCCTAGAGCTACTGCTCATCCTTGACCTACGCAGGCCAGGGACTAGATCTGAGACACCGAGCAGAAAGTAGCAACTGAGCTGCTGAACAGAGACTTTGGTTGTCTTGTCAAATTAGAGAGATCAAGTTGGAGTTAACAGACATAGCCTTCAAAATAATTACAATTTATACATCCAATAAAAAAAGAGGACGGGGCATTTTACTAGAAAACTAGGGTTTTTTTTTTTAATCACATGGAAATTCCATAACCTAAAAACAGTATCTGGAGAACAGAATAGATGGATTTGGGGCAGATTAGAAACTGCAAAACAGAAGATTAGGGAACTGGAACAGAGTAGAAACTATTCAGAATCAAGAACAGAGAGTAAAAAAAGAACGGAAAACACAGAAATGAGCAAAAGAGCTAAATGAAGCATGCTGAAAAGGTCCAACATGAGGTGACTGGAGTTGCAGGGAGGAGACAGAGATGCACTATCCAGTCTATTTTAAGAAATAGTGGCTGAGATTTCCTAAAATTGATTTAAAAAAAATCAAATGATAAATTAAGAAAGATAAATATAAAGAAAACTATAGAGGTGCATTATAGTAAGACTGTTGGGATCCAAAGACAAAGTGGGGTCTTATAAGTAGTCAGGACAAGAAACATTACCATTAAAGCAGCAACATTAAGCTAATTTTCCAATAGAAACAATGGAAGTCAGGCAGTGGGATGATATCTTTAAAGTGCTAAAGGAAGTAACTCCAGTTCAGAACACAGTCGACTTCTGAACAACATGGGTCTGAACTGCATGAATCCTCTTTTATGCAGATTTTTCCCCATAAATACACACTGCAGTACAATATAACTCGCAGTTGGCTGAACCTGCAGATGGAAAACTGCAGATATGGAGGGGCCCACTGAAGTTATATGTGGATTTTCAACTGCACGGAGGGTCACTCCTTCTAACCCCTGAGTTGTTCAAGGGTAAGCTGTACTATATACTCAGTGAAAGTACCTTTTAAAAACAACGAAAGTGAAATGAAAGATATTTTAAGTCAAACAAAATTGAGGAGAATCCACTGACAGAAGATACACTAACACACTCCCTTCTTTCTCTCCCTCTCTCTCTAAAGAAAGTTATCTGGGCAGAAGGAAAAAGAATCCAGATGAAAGTGTGGCAAAGCAAGAAGAAATGAGGAGTACTAGAGGATAAATCTGTGGGAAATTTAAATGTCCAATAGTGTTAAGAGGTGCTGATTCAAAGCAGACTCTAATGAGTCAAAGATGCATGCTGGAACCCCTAGGATAACTATTAAAAGAGTATCAGGAGTGAAATGGTATAATAAAAAATATTTTAATCCCTAAGAAAGAAAGTAGAAAAAAAATGAAGAAAGAAAAGATGGGGGAAATGGGGGAAAGAGTAGGAACAAATATTCTAATTATTTTAAAACAAAGAATGCTAGATTGGATTTAAAGGGAAAAAAGCCAACAACTATATTCTGCTTATGAGAAGCATAACTTCAACATAAGGACACAGAGAAGTTGAAAGTAAAAGGATGGAAAAAGATCATGAAAACACTAAAAGAGAGCCGATGTAGCCATTTTAATGTGAGGCAAAGCAGACTAAGACTGGTTAGAAGTAGAACCAGACAGTAAATGGAATAATAAAAACAATTATTATTTAGTCAATAATTCTCAATTTCTATGTACCCATATTACATAGGTTACATATACAACACAAATGGACAGAACTGAAAGAAAATGAAACAAATCAGCAGGGAGATGGCATATTTGAATACAATTAACAAAACTGACATATAAAGACTGCCGTGCCCAACAACTGCAGGATACACACTCATAAAATGAAGGTGGTAATGTGTGTGGAATTTACCATTAACTAGTCGATAAAGAAGATCTCAGAGTATGGTTTCTGACTACACTGGAATGAAGCTAGAAAGCAGTAACAGAAGAGTAACCAGAAAATCTTCTAATATTTGAAAATCAGGCAACACATAAATAACTGATGAACCAAAAAGAAACCACTAAGGGAGAACCATATATTTTGAAGTGAATGTCAATGAACACATACCAAAATCTATAGAATGCAGCTAAAGCATCCATTATTGACAGAATGTTTGTTTGTGTCCTCCCCAAAAGTAACACATTGGGGCCCTAATCCCCAGTGTGGCTGTACCTGGAGATGGGGCATCTGAGGAAGTAATTGAGGTTGGATGAGGTCATGAGGAAGGGTCTCTGATTCAACAGGACTGGTGTCCTTCTAAGAGACACCAGAGAGCTTGCTGTTGCCCTCGACACCTCTCCCTGCCTGCACCTATCAAGGAAAGGCCATGTGAGGACGCAGTGAGAAGGCTATGCAAGCATGCCAGCCAGTAAAAGAGTCTTCACCAGAAACTGAATATGATGACATCCTGACCTTGGACTTCCAGTCTCCAAAACCGTAAGAAAATTAAATTCTGCTGCTCAAACCACCCTGTCTGTAGTATTTCGTTATGGCAGCCTGAGCAGATTAATACAGCGTCCATCTCATGAAGCTAGAAAAATAACAAAACCTACAGAAAACTGGAAGAATAAAATAAAGGGGAGAAAGTAAAGAGACAAAAAGCAGATACACAAGGATACTGGGAAGATGGCGGAGTAGAAAGCCACCTGGACAATGGCACTGGCAGAAGCGGCCTGATTCAACTATTCAGGACTCTAGAGTCTGTTGAAGGCTTGCAACTTGTAGATGAAGACTCGGATACTAAACTGCTATCAATTTCAGCTCTTAGCATAGTAGCAGCTACCCATTCCTAACCCTGGCCACATGGCAGGCAGCTGTGCGTAAGTTCCTGAAGCAGCTACCACACAGCTGCAGGGTGGGCAAAAAGGACTTAGCCCTCCAAATACTGGGGATCTGTGCTCTGATGGCTGACTGCTGCTCTTGTTTACAGAAGTGCTGACAAAGGGGTGGCAGCCATTGTTGTTGTACTGCCACCCACTGTTGCAAGCTCCTCTCTGACTAAGTGACTTCCATGAGATTTAAAGGGCTGGTCCGCCTTTTTCTTTCCCTTCTTTTTTCACTCTTCCCCTTTTGGGAGCCAGGTATTAAAGACTAGGACATTCAAAAATAACCACATATATGGAGAAAGTTAAAAACTGACCACACATGCCCAAGAAAAGGTTCGGAAAACACCTAAGAAGACATTAGATTTACACTCAGACTGACCCTCCACACTCAGACAGCCTACAACAATAAAAAAATAAAAATAAAATAACAAAAACAGCAAAACCTAGCAAAGGAGACTCTGATTTCCAGAGTTAGCACATAATTAAATTCAAATGTTCAGTATGCAACAAAAAAAATTACAAGGCTAACACAGAAACAGGATAGTATGGCCAATTCAAAGGAAAACAGTAAGTCTGAAGAAGATTCCCTGAAAAAGACTTGATGGCAAATATATCAGACAAACACTTCAAAATAACTGTCTTAAAGATACTCAACTAAAGGAAGACGTGGAGAAAATCAAGAAACAATTTGTGAATAAAATGGAAATATCAATAGGAACAGAAAGCTTAAAAAGAAACCCAAAAGAAATTCTGGATCTGAGAAGTACAGTAACTGAAATGAAATGTAAATGGGTTAAATTCTCCAATCAAAAGACAGAGACTGGCAGATTGGATAAAATATGCATGATCCAATCATATACTGCCTACAAGAGACTCTCTTGACACTCAATGATACAAACAGGCTGAAAGCAAAAGGATGGAAAAAGTTATTCCATGCAAATAGTAATCAAAAGAGAGCAGGATGGCTATAGTTGTATCAGACAAAAGAGACTTGAAATCAAAAGAGGTTACAAGAGACAAAACATTATACACAGCTAGAAGATAAAGCAATTATAAACATTTATATACCTAGTGACAGACCAACAAAACATATGAAGCAAAAACTGACAGAACTGAAGGGAGAAACACAGCTCTACAGTAACTGTCGGCGATTTTAATATCTCACTCATAATCATGGATAGAACAACAGGCAGAAGATAAGTAAGGAAAAAGAGAACTTAAACAAAAAACCAAGTGGATGTTAACAGATAAATACAAAAAACTCTACTGAATAGGAACGACACACACATTCTTCTCAAATACACATAGGACACTTTCCAGACAGATTATGTAAGGCCACAAATTAAGTCTCAATGGACTTAAAAGATAGATATCATACAAAGTATCTTCTCCGATTACAACAGATGAAGCCAGAAATCAGTAACAAAAATAAAACTGAAAATTCAAGAATTTGTGGAAATTAATGATACACTGTTTTTTGAAGTTCTCTCCACTGACCTTTCTTAAAAAAAGAAAAAAGGCAACACAAGACATATATATGGCTTTGTAGCCATTTCAAAATTACAGCAAAAACTCAAATATCACATCAATTTAAAATGCTTTGTTTATCCTCCCAATTTTGCTTTCTATGGTAACTGTATTTATCACAGAGAAGGAACTACAGAATCACCCTGTAAAATGATACACTTTTAAGTAACTGTGTAGCTAAACCACACTGACTCCATTTTGTCTGCTCCATCTTAGGCCCACAGTCCTTTCCCTCCCTTTCTGTGAGACTGAGCTTTAACTACTCACAAGAAATATGCCCACGCCAGAAAAGTTGCCTATCATCTTTTACCTTGGCCTTCATCTGATATGAAAACTGGAAGAGAGCCTTTTGCTGACACAGATGGTTAATGGTCTGTGAGGAAATAATGGTCATGAGACCCCCAGGGGGAAGGAAACCCCACCCCCACCCCAGTTTCTGCTGCCACGAATGTGTTTCTCCCTTAGTAGTCAGATTCTAACTTTGGCCCCTTCAAATTCCCCTGTACCCCTTCCAGTGACGTGGATGCCTCTGGATGGTCGTCCACCGATACTGCCTAAAGAAAATTGTAAACTTCTTGATTGTACTTTATGGAGTTGCCTGCTTTGCTTTTTTGATCTCAAAGTTCCTTCTCATTTTGGCGGATATTATTCAATATCCCCACTTTCAAACAATAACCAACAGATCAAGGAAGAAATTACAATGGAAATTAAAAAATACTTAAAGGTGAATGAAAACAAAAAACATACCAAAACTCATGGGACACAGCAAAAGTCGTGCTAATGGGGGAAATTTATAGCTATCAATGCTTACATTGAAAAACAAGAAAGATCTCAAGTCAGTAACCTAACCTTACAACTTAAGAAACTAGAAAAAAAACCAACTAACCCCTAGGCTAGCAAAAGGAAGGAAATAATACAGATTAGAGCAGAGATAAATAAAACAGAGGATAGGAAAATAAGAGAGAAGACTCAAATTACTAAAATCAGAAATGAAAGTGGGACATTACTACTGATTATACATAAGTAAAAAGGATTATAAGAGAGCACTATGAACAACTGACACCAGAAAATTAGATCACCTAGATGAAATACACAAATTCTTAGAAACACAAGAATTACCAAGGCTACATCATGAAGAAGTAGACAATCCGAATAGACCTGTACCTAGTGAGGAGACTGACTCACTAATTTTAAAAGACTCCCAAAGAGAAAAGCCCTATACCTGACGGCTTCACTGGCGAATTCCACCAAACAATTAATGACAAACGAATACCATTCCTTCTCAAACTCCTTCAAAATTGAAGCGGGAACACTTCCTAACCTACTTCATGAGGCCAGTATAACCATGATACAAAGCCAAACAAAGACACAAGGAAAGAAAACTACAGACCAGCATCCCTTACGAACATTGATGCAAAGACCTCAACAAAGTATTAGCAAAAAGAATTCAGCAGCATATTAAAAAGATTACATATAATGAATGACCAAGTGGGATTTACACCTGGAACACCTGGAAAGGATGGTTAAACATATGAAAATTGATCAATATAATATCCCACATCAACAAAGTGAAGGAAGAAATCCCATGTGATCATTTCAATTGATGCAGAAAGAGAATCTGAAAAAATTCAACACTCTTTCATGATAAAAACATTCAACAAAATAGAAGTAGAAGTAACCTCAACATGATAAAAGCCATATATGAAAAACTCACAGCCAGCATCATACTCAATGGTGACAGATTGAAAGCTTTCCCTATAGGATTAGGAACAAGGCATGGATGTCCACTTTCACTTTTTCAATTCAACATAGTATTGGAAATTCTAGTCAAATCAATTAGGCAAGAAAAAGAAGTAAAAGGCATCCAAATGGAAAGGAAGAAGTAAAAGTATCTCCCTGTTTGCAGATGATGTGATCTTATATGTAAAACACCTTAAGTCTCCACAGAAAAGCTGTTAGAGCTAATAAATGATTTCAGCAAAGTAGCAAGATACAAAGTCAACACAAAAATCATTTGCATTTCTATACATGAACAATAAACAGCTTGGAAAGGAAATTTCAAAAACAATTCCATTTACAACAGCATCAAAAAGAATAAAATACTTAGGAATTAATCAAAGGGTGAAAGACTTGTACAATGAAAACTACAAAACATTTCTGAAAGAGATTAAATAAGACAAGTAGAAATAATCCCATGTTCATAGATTGGAAGACTTACTACTGTTAAAATGTTAGTGCTATCCAAAGCGATCTACAGATTAAATGCAATCCCTATCAAAATCCCAATGATGTTTTCTGCAGAAACAGAAAGACTCATCCTAAAATTTATAGGGAATATCAAGGGACCCTGAATAGCCAAAACAATCTGGGGTTGCGGGGGAGGGAACTGAAGGACTCACACATTCTGATTTCAAAACTTATTACAAAACTACAGTAATCAAAAGGAAGTGGTGTTGGCATAAAGACAGACACACATACCAATGGGATAGAGTGGGAAGCCTTTTGAAATAAATCATCATATATATGGTCAAATCATTGTTGCCAGGACCATTTAATGAGGAAAAAACAGTCTTTTCAACAAATGGTGCTAGAAAAACTGGATATTCGCATGCAAAAGAGAGAAGCTGGACTCTTATTTAATACCATGTGTGAAAATTAACTCCAACTGGATCAGGGACCTAGATGTAAGACCTAAAACTAAACTCTAAAATAAAACCTCTTAGAAGAAAACGTAAGACAAAAGCTTCATAACATTTGGTTCAGCAATGATTTCTTGGACATGACACCAAAGGCATAGGTAACAAAAGGAAAAAATAAACAAATTGAAGTTCATGAAAATTTAAAAATTTTGTGCATCAAAAAGACACTAACCAGAGGAAAATAACAACCCAAAGAATGGGAGAAAATATTTGTAAATCATATATCTGATAAGGGATTAATATACAGAATACATAGGAAATTTCTAAACTCAACAACAAAAAAGCACTGATTAAAAATGGGCAAATACCTTAAACAGACATGTCTCCAGAAAAGATATATGAATATGATATATGAAAAGACATTCAACATCACTAATTGTCAGGGAAATGGAAATCAAAACTATAATGAGATACCACCTCATAAACATTAGTATGGCTACTATCTAAAAACCCCAGAAAATAAGGAGTGTTGGCGAGGACTTAGAGAATTCAGGACCCTTGTGCTGGAGCCCACTATTGGTAAGGATATAAAACAGACTAGCTATTGTGCGAATAGTATGGTGCTGATGCCTCAAAATGATTAAGATTCAGTAATTCTAATTCTGGGTACGTACCCAAAAGAACTAAAGTAGGATCTCAGAGATATTCACCCACATTCACAGCAGCATTATTCACAATAGTTCAAATGTGGAAGCAACCCAAGTGTCGTCCATCTATCGATGAATAGATAAACAACATGCAGTGCATAGATATAATGGAGTATTATTCAGCCTTAAAAAGGAAGAAAGTCTGCAACATGCTACCACATGGATGAACTTTAAGGACGTTATGCTAAGCAAAATAAGCCAGTCACAAAAGGACAAATACTGTATGATTCCACTTACATAAGGTACTTAGAGTAGTCAAAATCATTAAGACAGAAAGCATAATGGTGGTTGTCTGGGGCTGGGAGGAGGGAACAATGAATGGGGAGTTAGTGTTTAAGGGGTACAGAGTTTCCATTTTCTAAGATGAAAAAACTCATGGGGATGGATGTTGGTGATGGATGCACAATGTGAATATATTTAACACCATTGAACTGTTTACCTATAAATGAGTAAGATGGTAAACTATGTGTATTTTACCACAATAAAAAAAAATCAGCTATCTAAGAATTAAGAATTAAAATAACAATTTTAAAAAGAAATTTTTAAAAACCAACTAAAATTGCTTCTTTGAAAAGATAATAAAATTGATGAGCTCCAGCAACACTGATCATGTACACATACACAGGGAAGATAATGGAAACAAACAGTCCAAAACATAACGATTTTTACATAATGGAAATACAGGTCAATTTTTATTTTCTTCTTTATACTCCTCTGGGTTTCCTAAACTTTCTGTAAGTAAGCTGTTTAAAAATATCAACTCTACTGTATGAAATACAGCTTTAGTAAACTTACCTGGCAGCCAGAGAATAAATGGCATTGGCAGAAGCAGAAGGTTTGATTTTCGGATGCTCACTCTCTGGACCTGCTAATGGGCTGCTATTCATATTCTGGAAAGAAAAGTGTTGAAAAAGAATCTTCTTCATATAGCTTAGTGTATCTCCTCTTACCTATTTAACCTATTCAAAATAACAAGAACAATCATACAGAGACCTCACCGTCAATGCCATACTTAGGGGTTACTGTATGTGACAAAAGCAGAGTTGAAAGTTCAACTGTAAGAGTTAGGGAGACAGATCTAAAAAGAGCCAAGGAAATGGGGCTGTTTGCTTTAATTCTAGAAAGACTTGAGAAAATTGGTTGTCTGCACAAATACCATTCTATCTTTAAAAATCTATACATCTTTCTACATTGATGCTACCAAAAGTCAAACCTAATTCACTCTCACTAATCAGACTGCCTATGACATAAATGCCACTTAAATGCTGAGTTACATTCCCCCTTCCCTTTCAATCAAGAAATACGCAGTTCATTTAAGGGCCACAGCATTTCCCAACTTCATCCTCCAATTCCATCTTTTTCTTAGATTTCCAACTACCTACTGGCCAATTTTTCCTTCAATGGCTCATCTCAAATTCAACATGTCCCTAGTTAGCCAAGTTCAAAACCTCTGGGGTGCATGCATGTGTGTATGTGTGATTTCTCACCATTTTTTCCACCCCCTGACAGCCTTCAAGCCTCACTGGCTCTTTGTTTCGTGCTGTTTAAAGTCTCTATCTAATCTGGCTGCCTCCTTCTGCTCCTAGACAAGGATTCTCCCTCTTGTTTACTTAGTACCGGCTATTCGAAATGCCTTTGTTACTCCTCAAATAGACCCTCCCAAACTCACTTGCTTTCCCCTTCATCCCCTTCAATCTTCTCCCATTGCTCCAGGTCTTTGCTCAGAATTGTATCCCATCCCTCCACGTACCTCTCATCCCAACTCGAGCTTTCCCTATACCCTGTTTTTGCCCTATTTTTCTCCACAGCATTCATCAGTGTCCAACATCTCATATGTTTTATTAACTTATTTATTTTCCATCTTTCCTTCTGTAGAATGTAAACTGTGTGAGGGAAAGATTTTTTGTTGAGTGTATAAATGAACTAACAAAGGAAAGAATATACCTCTCCCACCCCCAGTTCTCGTCCCCTTATTCTCATGCTTATCCAATAGACCGTTAACCGTTTTCAATCTATTCTCTTTCCAATCCATTTTGCATACCACTCCTAGATTCCTCTCTTTAAATTATCATTTTGGTCATGTCACTCCACTAATTTAAAATCTTCAAATGCTCTTCATTTATACCAAATAAATTCCAATTTTGGGGCGAGTGGGTATTCAAAGTCCTCTCATCTAGCAGCAATGTTCCTTTCTAGCCCCTTTTCCTACTCTGATACACAAAACTTCTGTTCCACTCAAATTAAACTTCTTCTTAATCCATAATACACCTTAAGCATTTCTGTCATTGTAGCTCTATCTTAAAACTGTATCCACTTTGGAAAGAATACTTCAAATACTGGTGCCACTCCTTCCATGAAGCCCTCACGATTGCTCTATCTGGAAATAATCTCTCCTTTTGCTAAAACTAAAATGTTTTCTATTTATGCTACTCATGGCATACACACACACACACACACACACACACATTTATTGTATTTACAAACATACTAACATATACACTCCTTGAGGGTAGGGATTATGTTATATCATCTCTGAATCATGTACAAAACATACCACAAAACTGACCCATTCAATACCATCCACAAATATTTGTTACTGGGATAATTACAAAATCAAACTCACCGTGGAGGTATCCAGACTGAATGTGCTTCCGAGCCTGGGCACGTCGGCTCTGGGTTCCATTTGGGAGGGCAATGAAAATGGAAGTGAGTGCCGGTTGGTTAATTCTCTCCCTGTCCAGGGGTCACTAGGGTTTGGGGCAACTACTGGTACTTTGGGGACTGGCCGAGGCAGCCATGATATTTCTCCAACGCGGCCAGAGGGGACAGGGGGCAGTTTGTCTCTGGAAGGACAGTCGCCTGGTGTACAAGGCAAGGGGCGTCTCTGAGGCCGGGTTTCTGCTCCAACAGAATATGGCCGGTCTGGAGGGGGTGGTGGTGGAAGATCTCGAAGAGTGGGAGGTATTGGTAATGGTTTGTCCTTATGCAGGGAGCCAGAAGGAGCCTATGGAAGCATGATGGAAGCAATCAATCAAAACCCACTAATCCACAACAAAGAATCAGAAAACTGTAGAAATGGATAATGTTTTACCTTAGAAGCAGTTCCAAGACCAGAAGCACTCGAAGGAATAGATACTCGCTGTTGTAGAAGGTCAAGCCGGGGTGGCACTGGGGGAAGGGAAGCTTGTGGGGCCATGGAGAATGGAGAAGGAGGCCGTTCCACCTAACACAAATAAAATTTCCTAATGGGTTATTCTTGTCTGCAGAAGTGGCATCTCTCAACTCCTCCTAAAGTCATAAACAGCAAGTACTACGTAAACACTGAATATACCACTGGGCCTGACTTTGGCTTTGGCATGAGGCAGTGCTTCCTGAATCATTTTTATGTCACCATCAGAGGGCGCTCTCAATCACAGAAATACCATGCAGATGCACGCTATAGACAAATATATCTAGAAATGGCTGTGCTTCTTAGCTTATAATTAAAAGTTTTTTTAACAATTTCCCATCGTCTCATCTTCAGAGAAAGAAAAAAGCCTTTCAAGATTAAAAATAAAAAAACATATAAAATGAAAGGGACAGGCATTAACCTCTCAACAAATCACTTAGGAAAATAATGTTTAAGGGGCAGAATGAAGAGATCAAAGTTGATAAATTCTCCATGGGTTATTATGATTAAAAGAAAAGAGATTTATAAGAGGAAATGATCAATCATGAAAATCATCTTGAGTTCTTCCAAAGAAGTAAGTTATTTCAATTCAATAATTAAAAGGAATTAATTTTTTTTTGGTCAATTTGTATTCTAAAAATTGAGGTGTCAAATCAAAATAAACAAATACATGTATAACCTTTTTCATTTTCCTGCCTACAGCAAGGTGATGAGTAGCTGATAAGCTTGTCCAAGTAAGCTGTCAAGAGATATACAAGAATTTATACAAAATACTACTTCACATCTGCATTCTCTAACAAAGCAAAACAGAGAGAAAATAGGCAAATGTATTACAAGCACTTACATAAGATGACAGAAAAAAACCACCATCCCCATACTCTGTCCTGTCATTAATGCTGGGTGATGAATGAGGGAAGAGAAAGCCTGCACCATGAGCTACTTGCTTTCACCTGTGCTCAAGAAAATGGGTTCCATGCCAGTGGAGTGTGAGTAGTCAAACACCTCAAGGTGTTTGAAATGAAAGTTAGTTATGAAAGTGAAGTTACTAGTCAAACTCACTCTCCCTTCATCAATATCTAGTCAGTCACTGTATCTTGTTGATTTTTCCATAAAAGAATCTCATATCAGTATCTTCCTTTTCATTCTACTTATCAACCTCAGACCTGGTTTATTAAAACCACCTTCTAGTGATTCTCCCAAATTCTAGTTTCTTATCTCACTCACCAAATCCTTTTGCTCACCATTATCAGCTTAACCATCTTTAAAATACTCATTAGGTGAAAAACCATCCATACCTAACACCCACTTTCCCACGTCATAAAATGTCACTCTCCTGCCTGGCTTTCACAGGTCTCTCTAATTGGGTCTCCCTAACCAACAGTATTTTCCATAATTTCTTATTTTGGAATTCCTACCTCCTTGACTTTGTTCAATTTGTTTCTTAGTTTGGAAGGCCTTCTCTGCCTATTTTGATCCCTCCCACCATCCATCTCTCCTTCTCATTCCTAAAGTGCAGAGGGTTGAGCTAATCATATCCCTCAATTCATGTCTTAAAATCTAACTGATCCCTGCGATGTTCTTTTATCTCAACGTGTAATAAAGTTCCAGAAAAGGAGAAAAGCACATATGGGGATGAAATTATCAAAGAAATAATATAAGAACAACTCTAAGATCTAAGCAACAAAAATATCCATATAGAAAGTGTTCACTGCATAGCTAACCCAATGAAAGAAAAGAAACCCATAACCAACCAACCAACCAACCACACCCTTAAATTTGCAGGGAATCAGGGATAAGGAAGATACCTTAAAAGCTAAATATACTAGAGCAAAAATACACTAGTAACTAGAAGTCACTGAAGCCATAACAATTTATAGTTGAATTTTTCCAACCTAGAATTCTGTAACTAGTCAGTCTGAGGGTTGAATAATGACATTTTGAGATACAAAACATCTCAAAAAATTTCACCTCTCACCTTTTCACAGGAAGCTCTGTTGAGGACATACCCCACCCAAAGAAGTAAAGCAAGAAACAGAAAAACATGAGTCAAGAAATAGGCACTCCAACACAGAGGAGATGCAATGAAGTCCAGTGATGATGGGGAGGGGAGACCCCAGGGTGACATGGAACGCAGCACACCCCAAGTACAACCAGTCCAGATGGAGCCAACGCATGGAAGACTCCCATAGGTCACTATACTATATTATACACTATTCACTAGATTAATGGGTTAGTAGAATTTACCTCATAGAAAATTATATTGAGAGGATATCTGACAGCATGGTAAGACTTGGTAGTGACAGGTACAAACTGAAAACTAAGGAAATAAAAACATCAATTATCTCAGAAAAGCAGAAGATTGTATAAGAAGGCAAAGGTAATTATATTATAGCATATTACTTGACACAGTAGAGAGCAAAATCACTTAAAAATTGAATAGAGATATAGCCAAAAAAAATTCAAATTAACTACAGCCAGAATATATGGAATAAAAAAGAGGGAGATAAGAGATTTAAACCCTTCTCTATAATACCAGAAGTAAACAGGTAAGTAATATTGCAGAATTAAGAGACAGTAGGAGAGCATATGGTTAAGAAACAGTTTTAAGAAATGAAAAATCTGATGGGACAGAGAGAGGAGTTGGAGGCAGGGAAGTGACATTTCTATAAGGTTTTTAGCAATTCTTTTACACTTAAGAAAAAAGTCTATGAGCATTTATCACATGAATTTTTGAAAAAGTAGATTCACTATTTTAAAAACAAATCAAAATAAAACAAACAGCAACAAAACAATAAACAACAGCTACTAAGATGTGGCAAAACAGGCACTCTCATAGCCTCAGATATTTTGGGAGTGACTTTAGGACAAAAAAATTGGGAACTAATTTTAAAGTCCATCCAAAAAAAGTTAGATAATTTTACTCAAGTATTTTAGTAATACAAAGTAGATAATGAACTATAAGGTACAAAGGATAATAAGATGAAACATCCCTGCAGAACCTACCATTCAGCTAAAAAATGGATTCTGGTATCTGCAGAGACTGCTGGACCCAATCCCTGTGGAAACTGAGGGACGATTGTGATTTGTTATGGCAACAACAGAATACTAACACGTGGATGTATGATTTCTTACTGATGGACACTTTTCATTATTACAAATAATGCTGTAAGAATACAGTATCTATATCTTTGTGTACTTGTTGAGTATTTCTTTAGGATAAATTCCTAGAAATGGAATTGTTAATTCAAACTGTAAATATCATATACATTTTGATAGATGTCAAATATCCTCCAAAAAGATGGAACTAATCTGCACCCACAGTGACACTGACTGTGTCTGTTTCTTCACAGTGAGTACTACCCATCTATAAAATTTCATGAAGAAAAAAGGGTATTTTAATTTCAAACAAATACATATACGAATAATCACTTCTTTATCTTATTATTCAGCTTCCTTAACACTTCAGGAGTTACCAGTAAATTTTCATGAATGAACAGCCAGCAATCTATGTAAGAACATAAAACTGCTTTAGAGGTCAAATGAATCTCTTAAAATGAAATCAAAGAACCTGTTATAAGGGGCCAAGACTACTGCCAACTTCAAAAAACACAAGAATATACTGCTCAAATAGTCCAGGTTTCCTCAACTATCCATTACTGATACAGCATAGATAAATTTATCAATTCCTGCTTTGAAGCGTTTTCAATTCCCAAACATCCAAAGAAATTACTATATGCTCAATTTTGAGCAGCTAACACAAATGAGACATGGCTCTTGCCTTCTAGGAACTTACAGTATAATGAGAAATACTTTAAATAAAATATTACAAAGTGATAAGTTCTATGGCAGACATATTCATAGAGTCCCAGAAATACCTGCCCAGATCTAGATTGTATGTGTGTAAATACATGTGAGTTGACGGTGGGGGAAGCAGGGTACAGTCCGGAAAGGTTTCCTAAGAAATGCGAATTGAGCTAAATTACATAGAAACTGTCAGGACAAAAGCATGAAGAAATTTTTAGTGCTACAGCCTTGCTGGATCACAAAATACAAAGTGGAAAGGATTATCAGGGCAAAGTGCCTAGAAAGGAGAATGGACTCATTAAACCCACTAAGGTTTGAGAAGTCATTAAAGAGTGTGAGGCAAAGGGATGAGGAGGTCAGGTGTGTATTGCAGATCAACGACTCCGCTAGCAGGGAGAAAAGATGATTATGAGAACCGGAAATAAAGCAGTGGCATTGAGTACAGAGAGGAGGAGATACAATCATTTAAGAGATAAAAATCCATCCTTTCATTATTTATTGAGCACCTACTATGTGCCAGACAGTGTAGTGCTGATACAAAAGAAAGCTTCTTTTTGTACCAAAAAATGCATCCCATGAAGTTGTAACAGTCTAAACAAGAGAACTGACAGCATATTAGAGTCTTTGTTTGCCCTACATTTATTAAAACCCCCAATGACTGCCTTACTTCTAATCAGTGAATAAATCCCTATTTTACACTGATATAACGGAATCTGATCATGTCCTTTCTTTCTTAGCCTTTATCATTCTATCTTTACTAGGGCCTTTCTAGTTTTAGTTTCTACATGGAACTTCCTATCACCCTCCAGTCACTTCCGTTGCCATTTATTTGATTGTTAACAGTACCTCAATTCTCCTGCCCAAACTAAACTTTCCAATGCCAAGACTCCATTAGAAAAAAAGACAAGAAGAATATATTTCTAGTCACAGTACCAAAACAGGGTCCAATTCTTTTATTCTCCCCTCATTTTCTCCAAAGCTATCTGAGTAGAGCTCAGTTCTAAGATATAGACAGTAATACCATGGGCCTTGAAGCTGGATGTCTGGTCACAGATTCTGGTTCAATTTATTAGCTGTGTGATCTTCAGCAAATTCCTTAACCTCACTGTGCCTTGGTTTCTTCATCTGCTAAATGAGGATAAAGATAGTATCTATTCATGGGGTTTTATGAGTATGTATGAGTATAGGATTATATGAGTTAAAATAAGTAAAAGTACTTAGCATGGTTCTCTCTTACACAGTAAATGTTCAATAAATATTCATTATTATCAGTCCTTGTAGTTTGGATGTCATTAAGGACTCTATTGCTTTAGGATACAATTAATAATGGATTCTGCCAATTCTTAAACTGGAGACTTACCTTGGCACCGGCCAACTCCTTCATCATGAAGAGAGAATCATCAGCTCGTTCATCGTCATCATCATCATAATTTGGGGAGGGAGCTCCCTCTGCTCCTTGCCTCAACAGGCTGCCACTTCCTCTAGGATCAAAGGGATCAACCACAATGGGCTCAGTACCTTTAATTTCACATCGGCAGAAAGGACAGCCCTGGCCTTCTGATTCCTGCAAAAGGAAACAGGAGATGGTAACAGACACATCTGAAAGTACCTAAAATATTCGTCCACTAAAAATACATTTCCTAGAGATGAAAAAAGAAATCAAAAGTTTAGAACCTATCCCCACAAACCAAGCCACCCTTTAATCTGTAAAGGATATATAATCCCCAATTCTTCACTGTGATTACTCAGCTGAGAAAAAGCATGGTTTGGATCCATACCTGCCAGGACGTCAGACAGGATGTGCACATGAGGTGTCCGCAGGGCTCGATCTTTACATCTTTATCATTTTCAGCACATATTTTACACAGTTGGAATGTGGAGCCCATCTCACAGTATAATTCATATTGTTCCTTTGATTAAAAAGAAGAGATTATTCAGTCTATTGCAGATATTTGTTGAATGAATAAACAACTACAACCATAAATGCTAAAAATAGGAAGATCGAAGACGGTTACTTTTAATACTAATTTGCTTGCAGAGAAGTGTCACAACAGTAGTCATTTAAAACAGAAAGCAACTAGTCTTGGTCCTATTTCAAGCTGTATGGTTTAAAAAGAAACCACACACACGTAAATTTACTAATCTAGTTAATAGTTTAAGTGTTCCAATCACCTAATATAATTCTACCATCAGTTCTATAGAGTAATATACAAAAGCTTGGCACTAGTGATATGGTTATAACATAAAACAAAGCTCACCTGGGTCACTTTGATGTGGTCTTGGGGAGTTGGTTCACATAAGCCTGTCAGGTCAGGATTCTGATTCCGTCCATCAGGAAACAAATAGCTATTTAAAAAAAAAAAAAAGAGTACCCAATCTTGGGGTTTTACTGAAGCCAATTTATCACTGTTTGCTAATAACAGACAAATATTATCTAGGAATTCTCTCATTCTAAAAGGGCAATTTTGCATAAGTATAAAGATAAATTTTACTAGTACTTCAAAAAACAATAAATGACACAGATCAGTGCCAAGAAGATACCCTTCAAACACTGACATTCTTTCTCCAGGGTATAATGCCACAGGTTCTATTTTTTAATCAAGGGGTTGACAAACTTTTTCTGTAAAGGGACAGATAGTACATATTTTAGGCTTTGCAAGTCATGTTAAGTCTGTGTCACATACTTTTCTTTGGTTTTTTTTTAAACGACACTTTAAACAGGAAAAACTATCTTAGATACAGACTGTACCAAAATAGCTAGTCTGTGGGCCACAGTTTACCAACCCTTATTTTAACCTGTGGATGGCCCCAAAGTATAAATTCTTAATTTAAACAGCATTTGCTTTTGATCAAAGACCTGAAATACCCTTGCTTACAGATTTAACACTGAAAGACACCACTTTAAAAGAAATGTAGCAAGAAGCAAAGCCACCAAGATAAACTACCAGGAGGAAGCTTCTAGCATCAAACAGCTCTGACATTCGGGGAAGAGCCCCTCTCAGCTCCAGTGTTACTGTAGAACATGATGCGTAATGGAATTTTGCTAATCACTTTAAAACGCAAGTAGTTTTCTGATATCTGGTCCACTGTTAGTACTTTTAGTGCTTACCAACTGATAATCAATTTGAATTCCCAAAGGAATAGCAACTCCGGAATAAATAGGAACTTAGTCATAAATATCAGCATAGATTACAAAAGCCCAAAACCTGAAGAAATGCTGAACTAAAACAAAGTTAGGATGAAGGCAGATGAAGGCCACTGAGCCTGCTACCATTGGGAACATCTAATCATTCTAATGTTGGCCAGTTAAATAGCTGGTAACATGTTCTGCTAATTGGTATATTTAAAAATCTAATCATAGACTTGAAAATAAGTTAACATTGGGGAAAAAAAAAAAGAAAGGTAAAATTTACTAATGATAACAACCCAAGCAGTAGAGAAAAATAGTTTCACTCAAGGAATGCCTTTTAAATAAAAAAGTCTTACAGAACCTGAAGGTCCAGACAATGTAACCTGTTAATATATTTCCTGAATTTTAATCTGCAGAAGAAACCTGTAATAAAGTCATTAATGATGAAGCCTTATAGCCCTTAAGTTCCTAGACTCTAGCAAATGGTAAACAGTAGGTACTCACAAGCCTTCCCTGAAGCCATCAATCAGTGCTTGGAAGAGAGGTTTATTGTGAGGGATTGTCTGGAGAATGTTCCCATCAGCAGTGACGTAACCAATAGCCCACTGACCCAGACGAGTACAGCTCAGCCGGAAAATGTAACTGAGAACAGAGAGAAACACAACCTTTAACATATATGCTCATATTAGGGAGGAAGGCAAGACAGAGACAAAAATCAAAGGGACTGTCAATAATAGATTCTTCAATGACTCCAGACCAAAAGCAAACGACATATAAGCCCAATCCTTAAGTGGCTTGAAAGCATTTATCAAATCATAGGATCTGAATAAGTCAATTCCTCTGGTAAACAGACATCAATCCTACTGAAGAAACGTGGCCACTGGGGAACTAATAAAAGATCATGTTTCCTCTTCCAGCAAAGGTCACAGGAGAATAAAATTCAGCTGAATAAACCTCTGCTTCATGGCACTGACCTGCCAGGTTTGTGAATGAATTTCTGGAGCCGAGCTTTCACTTCATCATATGTCAGGAAAGCCATGTAACCAGGATGAGTTACAGCAAGACTGTTCCAATTCCTGAGCAAAGATGACCAGGGCTAAGGAAACAAGATGTCAATCAAATCACTGGACTCAAGACATACAACCAGGCTCAGGGCAATGAAAAACAAAAAAAGCAACCTCAGTTCTCAATTATAAATTCTCTATTTTCTGTTAAAAGCCTTCAATTCTATTGTCACTTTAAGGGAAGACAAAACAGGTTTGGGGAAAAAAAGAATTTTGAAAAGCTAAGAAGAAAATAACATATGCTTATAGGGAGATACTTAACTATACAGAGTGAAAGTCAGGAAATTTTTAAGCAGCTTTAACTAACAGTAGGGAGGTTAAACAACAACAAACAAAAACAGAGAAACAGAGCACGGCCTACATGTGTAAGAAGTTCCAAATAAAGGTTTGCGCAAGATGGCATATACACACATTATTTTTAGAAAAAGAAAGAAATCAGTTTTTTGTGAAGCACCAATACATCTCAATATTAACAGTTAAGAATTTCAATCAACAGGAGAGAAAATTGGAAACACACACAGAACTGATTAAATATACCCATTTTTAGGATGTTCTATAACTACTAAAATGATGCAAAGAAGAATATTTAATAACAAAGAGATTATAAATGTGAAGGGAAGAAAGCTGACTGTATAATTATTATTTTTACAAATACATAAAAAATACAGAGTAGTTTTAACCTTTTTTGGGGCTATAGTTTCCAGATTGAATAAAAATACTCTTGTAACAGGCAAAATCCCAAATGTCATTTTTTAAAAAGCTTTCTCTTCAGAAAAGTAGCAATAACTAGTTTAGCCAACATTTTAGTATCCTACCTGAAAGAGCCGTGTAAAGATGTCAAATTCAAAAACTGAAATATAATCATTGCAGGTCAGATCAATAGTGGATTTCAGAGCCATGGCTTCCAGCCCAGAACTGATGGGATGCACTTCATGAAGGGCCTGTCTGAAGCTCTTCCAAGGGACTATTGTCTGGGATGGGTTTGGGGGGTGGGAGAGATGGCAAAGAATGAGATAACAGAGAATTCCAGGCACTGCTATATTCACAGAAAAGAGAGTCCCATTAAGCTCTCAGTATCAATTTCAACTTTATTAAAGAAGTTGAACTATATTTTGGATTGAGAACAAAAAGTGAGTAAATGATGTATTTCTTAACTTTCTAATGAGTAAATCAATAACACAGACACCTACCTCTACATTTCCTTGGCAGAAAGCCACAAATTAATTCCCTTTCTCATCTATTCTGTCAGAGAAGCATGGGAAGAGATGAGATTATCCTTTTGTATCACAGATGAACCAGTGGCCAGATCTTCACTAACTGAAAGCTTGTGTTTAACTTTTAAAAGCACATAAAATATACTCTGTGTTCCTCTGAGGAACTCACACTATCAAGGACTAGACTGGAGGAAAACAGGCTTGAGGTACGGGAAGAACAGAGTCCTGATAGAGATGAGAAAGAAATTATTTAACATAAGAATGATGAAACCCCAGATATGGCTAGCAGGAGGTATTACTACAGGATTTCTATTTCTCGAGACCTTTAAAAAAAATAAAATCTCATTGCTTTTGAAAAGATTATGTATTTATGTATTTACTTGCCTGAAAATAAGAGATCAAGTGGCATTTTGAACTCTTTTCTAATGTAGTTTTTAAGTTAAAGGAACAAAGTTAAACTCATTCCCATCCTCTTCAACTAAGTTTAAAAAATCACTAATTATTCTGGATCTAATGTTTAAACATGATTTTTTTTGATGTGTATTATATAAACATTTATTAATATGGAAAACAGCTTTTAGTGAATATTACATTTCATGGTTTTGAGTCTCTATAAAACTCTATATATCTACTTATACATGTAATATATTTTAAGAATTTCAAGTTTCCTCTGTTTTATTATAATCTGTGATTTTTTTAAATTAACACAATGATTTTACCATTCCTCCTTACCTTTTAGTTTCTACCATAGACATTAAACTAACCCTTGCACAAGAAAATAAACTAATCCAATATTGTTCTACATTATTTTCTGAAAGATTCTTGTGGTTGAGTAATAAGCCAAGTTTCTGGGCATATCTGGTAATTTTGCACAGTATGTTCATTTTATTCCTAGTCATCAAGCTATGTTTCTACATCATTAAATTGCTTTAAACTATCCTTAAGACTATTTTGGTGGATAGATTAAAAGATTATTCCACTGAAAAGAAGCCTGTTATAATATTTCAAAGGATTTGGAGAGAAAAAGCATTAGCTGGCTTAATAAACATGATTTTTTTAAATAAAGCATTCAACAAATGTAAAATTAATATGTAGAAAATGTACAATTAATATGTAGTAAACTAACTTACTAGTGTACATCAATTACATTTCAATTAAGAAAGAAAAAAATAAAGAAAAGAAAAGGAAAGGAAAGGAAAGAAAGCATTTAAGAGACTCACATTAGGATCTGTATATTCAACTGAAAAATCTTATTCCTTTCTACCTTTTCAGGTCTTTGATCCAAAACTTCAGAGGATATTTAAAAACATTTATATTAATACTTAAACACATAAGCTTGACTCATACACCTGTCTATATAATTTAAAACTTCTGGATATCAAAAAGACAATATAACAAAGTAGAAAGATAAACCACAGACTAGGAGAAGATATCTGTAATGTTCAGTAGTTAACAAAGAATCAGTATCTTACAACAGGAAAAAGACAACTGAATAGGAAAACAGGCAAGTCAATAGGAATCGTGCTTGGTCACGAATGTGAAAAGCTGCTTAAGCTCCCTTGTCATCAGGAATATAAAGCAAAATATGATACCAACTCACACTGCCAGTATTAGCTGAACTGCAGAACTATTAGAAGTCATGTACTCTACCTATAGGAATATAAACTGGTACAACCACTTTGGAAAGCAATTAGGCAGTATCTGTCAAAGCGGAAGATGTAAAATCCCCTAACTTAACAATTCCACTCCTAGACATGTAACTATCGAGAAACTCTTGCATTTGAAGACAAATACAATTTTCTTAACTGCAGAACTGTTTGTGAGCAAGTAATTTTTAATGTAAACGTCCATTATCAGCATAATAGATGAGGATAGAGTATTCAATCACAGAGCATGAGTTTCAAAGGTCTATTTCTTTGGGAAAAAAATGATCAGAGCAAAAAAATATTAATATTTACCAAAGTCAGGAAATAAGTACACACATATTCATTACTTCTTCTGTTTTCCCATGTTTTAAATATTTCATCAGTAAAAACTAAACAAATACCCATAACACATGTTTCAGTACTTCATAGTTCGAATTCATTATTTTGAGACTTACTTTTCCCCAAAAGCTTTCCTCCAAAATTCTGCAGCATCAGCTTTAGTAATCCGAAACGTGTCTCCTTGAAAGAGTCCACCTGGAAAGATTCCTTTTAGCTCTGCCAGCATGTGGCTGAAGATCAGGGACAGTTTGGTTAGATTTCGCCTGCAAATGATCAGAAGTGCAATGATTCAATGAACACATAAAATTATTTTTATTTTAAATGTGCTGAATTCACCATACCAGGTGTGTAATTGTAATAGTAGAAAGATTGCTGCATTCACTAGATCCGCTCTGTTCCCTTCATTCAAAAAGATGTTACATGGTAAATAAGAAAAAAAAAAAAGAAATGGTAATCTATTCCCAGACTTTTAATCTTACATTAATCAGGTCTAATAACTGAGCATAAACTAATATGAATAAGTTTACTTTTTTAGGGTGACAGATAAGAGGACTCAACAAATAAGTGCAAGAACTTGTACAGTGTTATAACCAGTCACAAAAATGTTAGAAAAGCAAAATATTATTTCCTGCTTTGCCTAAACTAATCTGGATTTTTAAATTATCATGTAATGTACTCAAATTAAAAACAAATTTAAATCCTCAATAAAAAGGAGTATTTAAATATCCAGACGTAACAAATATTTTCACTGAATCAGATTTTAAACAGGCTTTCAAACTCTTTAAGGAACTTAAAACAACTTCTCTTCCTTTACCAAAAATGAAAGGCAAACATCCAAACCATGTAAAAATTTCTACATAAGTGCATGCAATACTATGTTTTAATAATTAGTTAACTTTATTCTAATAACCTTTGTTTAATGGATATGATTATCAAGTACCAATTTAACACACTACTTTTAGGTGTGTACTGCAACCAGATTATCTATTATCTTTAATGGTAATGTCACACAGAACAAGATACTGATGCCTTACATACTGCTATACACCAAACCAGCCACTATTACACTTGCTTATTTTCCCTTGCCTCAATAATTTGTATTTATGTATTCTTTTTTTTAAACATTGTTTTTATTTGTTTGGTTTTGGGGGTTTGGGGGGGAAGGGGAATTAGGTTTATTTTTTACTTGTTTTTATTGGAGGTACTGGGGATTGAACCCAGGACCTCGTGCATGCTAATTAAGCATGTGCTCTACCACTGAGTCATACCCTCCCCCCTATATTTATGTATTCTTGTCATACAAGTGAACTATAAATTTTCAAGTCAGTTCATGATCAATTTTATTGCCTAAAAATTCTCTTTAACACAGATATATTTTTCTTTTTATATGCTATCCTGGAGGATCACCATTAGTCTCATCTTTGTCTTTCCTAGGAAAATGCTGCACAAAGTCTCTGCAGCTCTAACTTTCGTGCAAAACACTCCTGAAAGTTTTCTCATCAGCTTTTCAACAAATCAGCCTCAATTTTTTGATATTTGTCTTCTCACACTTGTGTCAAGTTATTCTCTTTACAGTTTGCTACTTGTTTTCTGAAAGCACCTACAATGATAAAATTAATATTCTTTGAAAACAATCTAAAATAATTCATATGCTAAACAGCTCAAGTGTAAGATAAAAATACAAGCACTTATTCAATCCCTAAACGCCAATAACCATTTTCCTCCCTGTACTTTGAGATCCTTCAATTATTGCCGGTCAGGATTTTTACTAAATCCTTTATCAAAGAGGAAACAAAATTAGTAACTATCAAGAATATATCACAGGGCACATCTGGGTTGTGGAGCGGTCGCTCACGGTCACTTCTGCAAAAGGGCTCCATGGCTTAGCATTCCCATCCCTGCCACCTGTGATCGTGTGCCAAGGCCTGCAAAGGGTCGCCACCCAGGTTTCCACCAGCCCACAAGCAAAAGCATGGCAGCCACCCCCTTCAGCAGCTCGCTCAGGGCCACCTGTGACCACTACTGGCGCCACCTGGGCTCCACTTCCAGTAACAGTTCCTGAGGGAGCGTGGAGCCATCTGGGGAAGACATCCCCCACCACCTGGTCTCCCCAAAGCCGCCCCAGGACTTGGTGGGCTAGCTTCTTTTTCGGGAAGTCCACTCTCCTATTCATGGCCACAGTGTTGGAGTCCCCAGAGCACTGGGAATTGCCCCAGACCTCCACCGGCACAATCACCTGGGACCTGGCTCGGGAAGCCATGTGGAAGTAGCAGGCTGGCAGCTAGCCTTTTGCAACACCAACTCTAGGTCCCTGGTCCTGAGTGGCCGCCACCAGCTGCCAGGCTTCCTTCCAAGGCTAGTAAGACCCACCCCCTTTCCCTTCCCTCCCCGAGACTAAGCAGGCTATAGTGAGCAGAAACAGTTGGGTTAATATAAAAACAGCAAAACACCAAAAAGGAAGTTGAGAACCCCACTCTTCACAACCCAAGCCACACTAGAGCCTTCCTGACACCTCATAACCCTTGCACCATAAGCCTTGCACCAAGTAGAAAATAAACTTCAAGCAGCCATGAAAGAAAGAAAGAAAGAGAGAAAAGAAAGAAAGGAAAGGAAAGGAAAGGAAAGGAAAGGAAAGGAAAGGAAGGAAAGGAAAGGAAAGGAAAGGAAAGGAAAGGAAAGGAGGAAGGAAGGAAGGAAGGAAGGAAAGAAGGAAGAAAGAAAGAAAGAAAGAAAGGAAGGAAGGAAGAAAGAAAAGGACTATATATATCATAGATAACGCAACAGAAAATCTGCAAAGCACAAATCATTCCCAATGATTTTAATTTCAAGTCTTCCCCAGGACACCAAACTGCACAGTGGAACTAAACCTCAGTATTCACATAACATTTTGCCAAATGTTAATCCTTAAAGATAGCAAGGAGAGAGTCCATGATTCCCTTAAGATATGCTGGGTTGTTGAGAACCTACTATATGTAAAGAACTATGCTAAACAGTATAGCAGAACAATGTATGATATGATAGAAACATACATAATCACACTCCCGAGATTATGACAGAGCTCTTTTAGGAAGAAACAGTTTGTATCTTCTTTTTTTCCTGAAAATGTCTTTCTCTGGTTTCTCCAATACTGTCCTCCCTTGGTTCTCCTACTTGCTTTTTATTTTCCTTTTGGCTTTTCTTTCTTTTATCTTAATACGGCTATTTCCCAAGAATTTACTCTCCACTGTTTTCTTTTCTTTCTCCATGTACTCTCCTGACTCTCCCTGTGCCATCTTAAGGCTTCAAAAACTACTTTGCAGAAGATTCCCAAATCTTCGGCCTTGGTAGCTTTCCAACTGCCTACTACATCTCTCTATTCAAATGCTAGAACCTTAAAGCAATATGTTCAGAACTAAGCTAACCTCTCTTCTCAAACCTGCTCTTTCTTCATGTTCTCTATTTTCTGCATTTAATGACAACACTGTCTTCCTACAAGTTCAAAACCCTAGAGTCAGTCATCATAACTTCCATTTGCTTTGTTCTCCATATGTGACATCAATTTGCTGACCATGTACTGTTAATCCTACCTCTGAATTTACATTATTACTCTAATATACTCTTTGCTACCTGCACCTACTTACTCCATAATTCACATTGAGGTTTCTGTCTCCTCCTATGCACCTTCAATCATACCATGTATGTCCTGTTAAGGAGGGGGGAAAAAGCAATTTCCACAATACCAGTGGGACCAAATCCAAATTCAGCTTAGATTTTTATACTTTCCACTACTTGGATCTAACCTACCTTTATAACTAATTTCTTAGTTCTTCACTAGTAATATTCTAGCCAAACTGAATACTTCACTTTTTCTTATACATATTCTCCTTATTCACTTTCCCACTTCTGAGCCACTGCTTATTTGTTCCTTAGATTGAAAAAAGATCCAGCTTAAATGTCATTTCCTAAGAAGCCAGCTGGAAGCAATAAAATACCCTGAATATTTTCAGTGCAGTTCTCCTATGTCGTCTGAATCCATCTTCTACTATAGTTACCTGTGTAAACAAGGGCTAAATCCATTTCCGATGTATATTTATATCCCTTTGGGCACGTGGCATAATTTCTAACCTTTATTATACCTCCAGAAGATCATCTGAGTGCCTACTATTTGCTAGGCACTAGGGACGAATACAATGAACGAAACACAAGACCTGGATTTACAGCATCGACATTCCCATGGCAGAGTATCAGGTATGGGGAGAAAAGTGCTTTGAAGAAAAACAAACCTGAGTACAAGAAGAGAGTCATGTAAGGTTGCTGTTTTAGAGAAGATGGTCTTAGGGACTGGTGAGTGCTGATTTTAAGCCAGTTCTGAAGTGAAGACAGGAAGTGAGTCTTTGGAAGATGGGCCACATTGGCATCTTTGATTCTTCAAATAATTTTCCACTGAGAATCTACCAGATACCCAGCATTATGCTGGATCAGAGATAAAATATACATACCAAAATAATAATGGGCAAAAGCTTTTTTTAATTTGTGAAGAAAGCCGCAGAAAGGGGAAGGTTATTGACCACAAGGATGTAATGGCACTAGGTGCCTAAGAGCAGTTCAAAGTGCTGAAATAGCTACTGAAAATCAATTTAAGATACTTTCCTACTCAAGGATGCATCCCCCAAAAAAGCCAGCTTACATTTCTTAAAATGTGCATCGTAAGCATCACACTTCTTAAAAGGAAATAAAGAATCTATAAAAGCCCATGGGTCAGAGCATTTTGTAGCTGGTCTGAGTTGAAATTTTGTTCAATAACATTTTAAGGCCTCAGGCTTATGGTTCAATGTCCCAGAGTATAGGGCAGAATTTAATCAGGAGAATCTGTCTAAACATGTAAACTTAGAACAATGAGGTATAATGGGTATTTGGGCTTATTACAAGCTAAGCAATACTTCTCAAAATTCTGTCAGGAGTTACTTCGATTCATACCATACGCTCTAACATTTCTCCAAAGATCCACAAAGGAACACAACTGTTCAATTTTTTCACAAATGCCTTGAAGGCAAAACTCTTCTTTCTTAACTTTGAGTGGTAGCAATACTTTAACTCAGTATTTGAAGGAGGTCATTCTTACCACTCTTAACCCTAACCATCTACATCTATATAGCTTCCAGCCTTCTCGTCCTCTCACAACTTCCTCATACTCACACACTAATTCAGTATGCAGTGTCCTTTTTTCAAAAGGTTCAAGACTGATGTGAGTTCTCTTCCCCCTACCTCAGGTCCTACTCTAAAA